TATATATAACAGTAATAAGAATCATTATTGAGAATAATTTAGAAGCTAAACAACTGAATGCATTCACCCCATTGATTCCTCCCTGTATTTTGTAATTTTTCCTTAGTCCTAGTCCTCCATACTTTCACACCTTGCACAATGAGCTTGATGAAATACATTGAGAGGTTTACATTGTCCTGGACTGTTTAAAAAGAAGTGCTTTTAAAAGTTGTATGTGCATCGACCGCAACGTTTCTATTAATAAGACCGCAGGCAGGAGCTCCAGAGACTTATACGAGTCATGAGAAGAATCGAAGGGGGGGAAATGACTAAGAAACTGTGTGCATGTGAATCTGAATAACTTGTGTTCCAGCCCACACCAAACCATTTATCTTTCTTAGTATTTCCCAACTGCATAATAAGTCTGAAAGAGGCGAGGCAGCTTCATCTGTCTCCATGTGTGTGTTTGCCCTCAGCGGCGTATGTCAGATCAGAGGTGGCATTTCCCAACGATTCGCTCGAACATCTTTTATTTTTCTTCATCATGCCATTATGAGGTCATTGACTGAAGTGGTCTGTAATCACACACGAGTTTAAGCTCTTAAAGGAATAGTTCACCCAAAAATGAAAATTTGCTTAACACTTACTCACCCTCAGTCATCCAAGATGTAGATGAGTTATTTTCTTCATGGGAACAGATTTGGAGAAATGTTGCAGATCCTCACCAAAGGATGCTCTGCAGTGAATGGGTGCCGTCAGAATGAGAGTCCAAACAGCTGATAAAAACATCACAATAATCCACAAGTAATCCAGCCCATCAATTAATGTCTTGTGAAGCCAGAAGCTGTGTGTTTGTCAGACACAAATCCATCATTAAGATGGTTTTAACTTCAAACTGTTTATTTCAGCAAAAAAAAAAATTTAGTCCTGTATCCATAATATTGTTTTCTCCAGTGAAAAAGTCACCCTGGTTTGAATCAGGAGAGACATCTGCACCAATCAAGCACCGTATCAAGCCAAAACCGTTCAAAACAAATATGTTGGTGAATTTTGATGTGAGAGAGGACAACAGAGGATTGACTTTTTCACTGGAGGAAGTGTTATGGATTATGGACTCATATTTTGGCCAGAAACAAAGGTTTTTACCTAAAATGCCTTGATGGATTTGTTTCCACAAACATGTAGCTTTCCGTTTAACTAGACATTAACTGCTGGACTGGAGTGGTGTGGATTACTTGTGGATTATTGTGATGTTTTTATCAGCTGTTTGGACTCTCATTCTGACGGCACCCATTCACTGCAGAGGATCCAATGGTGAGCAAGTGATGTAATGCTAAATTTAGCATTCATTTTGTCATTTTCATTTGTTGGATTAACTCTCTCTTCTTCTCCCTTAGATTCAGGAGCTGGAGTTTGACGCAACACCGCAATCTCACACCATCGAAACGTCTTTCACAATCACCTGGACCAAAGCTTGAGCCAAGAACAATCGCAATTATTTCTGTTTATTTATGAATGTTCAGTCAACTAGTAATTTATTTAGCATTTCTGCTGGAAGCTTTTTATGGTAGATATCGTCTGGACTTAAAACATGAAATGATTTCTTCTAAAGTAAAGGTTTTGTTGATGTCTTTTGGTTGGGATCTCATATTAGAAACAGATTGTGGTTGTGCAACTTTAGGCCAAACTTGGAAGGCTGAATCTGTAATGCTGGCATTTGGGGAAGAGCGAATATAATAACCCTTAATTATCGACAATCTCAGCTTTTTAACGAGAAAACCACTCAGCGGCGGCTACCTGCCGGGCGTGCTTCACGCATGACTACAGTTTGATGTAATGATACAATAATCAATTATTAATTCTACAGTAAACATAATGATATCAATTAAGCAATGGAGACTGTAAATTGATTTCTACTCTAATTGGCAATCATGGCGAGCAGGAGAGATGGACACCGCGGGGAAGAGGGCAGGAAGGGTGTGCCTTCAATATTTAGATGCTAGCCAAAGCACGGTGATAATTGAGGAGGTTTTTTTATCCAAGTGTGAAACAGGATGGAACCATTCTGACTGAGACTGTAATTATTTGGGTTTTCTATTATGCAAAAAGGGTTTATCCAGAGCTTGTATTTAATTAGCAAAAAACAGTGGTCCTGCTTTCCGCAGTTTTCCTACTCTAGTCAGGCAGTGAGGAAACGTACAATTATTCATGGAGTTTATACAAAGTTTCAAACTTGTTATAAAAACATCAACTCTGCCTGAGTTGGTTGTGTTCATTTTACCATTAGATGTTCATCTCTGTCCATTAAGTGATATATGAAAGAATAATACAGCTGTAACATGGAGAGAGATTTTAAAACGGCAATAAAGTGATTTAAACCTCAGTAAGGCTGTGACTTATTTGACTTGCTGATTTTATGGTAATATTTGCTTTAATCTCTGAAGAAACTTTCTTTTGTTTCTTCCCTGCACGCAGGCAAACCAGACATCAGTCAAAAGTCAGGTGCATTAAAACAATCAATCTGACTCAAATAAATCAAAAGCAGACAGAGAATGTTGTCTTGATTTAACCAACCCTCCAAACAAAGACTGGGATTGAGAGGAAAGTACTCATGTAAAAAAAAAAAAAAAAAAATCGAGGGATATAACAAAAAGACGACATGAAAGATGAAACACACACTCAAGTGACTTCAAAGCATCAACATGTGACTGTGAGTGTTTGTGATGTCTGTATGCTGGAATACATTAGAGAGAACATGGATTAGAGACAAAAGTGCAAAGAAAACAACGACACGCGCTGATCCAGAACAATCACGCTTTGTTTCCACAAAGGTTACAGATGTGGCATCACGTTTTCATGTGAAATATTATATATGTGGAGTTTCGTGATGAAGAATAGTATGTTTTTACAATCAACGATCACATTTCTCAGTACACAGTGTTGTTATTGTCAACCAAAACTATTAGAAATTGTTTTTGTTAATTGCAATAAAGCTGAAATCAAACAAATTTTAGATGAAAAACGTAGACTTCAAAATGTGCTAACATGAACTAAATTAATAAAATAACACAAATAAATGAAAGTTACATTTTATTTTTATTTAAATACAACTAATAGCAAAAAATCACAACAAAATTACTAAAATTAAATACGAAAACTGAAATATAAAAACAAATGCAAAATATCAATAATAGTATACTAGTCTATAACTATTGCTAAATTAACACTGGTTTCACAAGCATGAACTATGTTAACAGATGCAACTTTGTATGTTGAAATGAAATAAGATTAATAAATGCTACAGAAGCTTTGATCATTGTTAGTTTATTGTAACCAATGCAGTTAACCATGTAGTTCATTAACATGTCTATTTCATTGACAGTTTATTTGTTGAAACAAAACTGCGATGGGTTCTATTGCCTTAAAAGATGACACTTCAAAATATGAATTACAGGAAAGAAAAAAAGTTTCCCAAAAGTTTCCTCAAATAAAACTTATGTGAAGCTTAATTTTTAGGCAGGCATCTTTTAGACAGACACTGCATTTTGTCAAATAAACCTTCAATACGATAGCTTTCCACTATGCTAATTTGCTAGCAAAAAAGCTAATAGTTTTATAATATGGAGGTTTTGTTCTTAAAAATGTGATGCTAAGATTGAAATATGAGATGCAAAAGGCCTGGCTTTCTCTCAACACACACACGTACACACACACTTGTACTGTCAGTCTGATGGCGACGCTAAACCGCTGACAGGCCCAATAACAGGCCGCGTTACTGTTATTAACGAGGCTTATTCCTCGCGAGTCATTTCACCACGTGACACTAGCTAACACGGTGGCGCGCCCACACAATTTTCCCTTCACTCATTCGCCAATCACGGCTGGCCACTGATGACAGGGGCTGAGGGGAGCTAGACCTGGTAATTGCAGCTGCTTGCTTCACTTCACGCCGGCTATGACAGGTGTGTGTTCGTGTGCGTGTTTGTTGAGTCGAACTGAAACTATTAGGATTGACTTGACTTTCATTTCTGTTTGGCTATGAATGTGTAGGTAAACCATAGACCAGGGGTGCCCAAACTCGGTCCTGGAGGGCCGGTGTCCTGAAGAGTTTAGCTCCAACCCCAATTAAACACACCTGAACCAGCTAATCAAGCTCTTACTAGGCATACTAGAAACTTGAAGGCAGGTGTGTTGAGGCAAGTTGGAGCTAAACTCTGCAGGACACCGGCCCTCCAGGACCGAGTTTGGGCACCCCTGCCATAGACTGTATAAAAACATGGACGTAGTGTCCCTGATGTCACACATAGATTTTCGAAGAGCGTTTTTGAAGCTCAAAGTGGGCGGAGCCGGCCATTGCCATCTTTGCAGCGCGTCACCGCGCATCACTCCCATATAATCGAAAATGGGCAAAGAGGCGGGAGCAGGTTGCTGAAACCACGCCCATCTGGCGGGGCAGTGGGGAGGGCAGCTGGAGGGCCGGTGTCCTGAAGAGTTTAGCTCCAACCCCAATTAAACACACCTGAACCAGCTAATCAAGCTCTTACTAGGCATACTAGAAACTTGAAGGCAGGTGTGTTGAGGCAAGTTGGAGCTAAACTCTGCAGGACACCGGCCCTCCAGGACCGAGTTTGGGCACCCCTGCCATAGACTGTATAAAAACATGGACGTAGTGTCCCTGATGTCACACATAGATTTTCGAAGAGCGTTTTTGAAGCTCAAAGTGGGCGGAGCCGGCCATTGCCATCTTTGCAGCGCGTCACCGCGCATCACTCCCATATAATCGAAAATGGGCAAAGAGGCGGGAGCAGGTTGCTGAAACCACGCCCATCTGGCGCGACAGTGGTGAGAGCAGCGGCAATCCACCTGTCACTCAAGTGGCCACGCCCTTAATTATGCAGAACTTTAAGGCTTAATATAATTTAAACTGATGAGTTATAAAAAAAATTCACCCCCCTCACAGTTGTCATGAAGGGCAGGTTGTAAAATATGAAGTGAAAACTGATTATTGTAATTAAATCATCTGATTATTTTAAATTGTAAATAGATTGTCGCCAAGCTAGGGTTTCGAAATAGCTGAAGAATAATTCTATAGTGTGAACAGGGACTAGGACTGGGGGGAATCAGTGAAGGAATTATAGCAGAATCAACTCTATAAATGTGTAACATCTGGTTTGAAATGTAAAGCTTCACACAGTGCTGGGTCACAAAGGAATGTGAGCGCACATATCGGTCTTTAGGAGTTGAAGAGCAAACACCATGCTAAAAGCAGATAGAATCACAGCAAAATGAATGCTATAGGGTCAAACAGAGATGCCATATCAATGCAAAGTTTTATGTTTGAGACAGACACCAACAGAGAAATCCTTTAACACACTTAACAAATGTAGTGCATACTTGTGTTCTTTCAATAGTGACAAAAGCATCATTTCAGAATAATATTGTTATATATTGTCTTATCCCAATTAAGAAATATACCAAAAGTTGAATTTTCTGATGTTATTATTGTTATATTATATCATATTGAATATATAATTAATTATAATAATTGTTTTTTTATTATTATTTTTTTATTATTATGATTATTATATTTATAATTTCAAAAATAATAAATGTAGTTATAATTGTATTGTACAATTTTATAAAATGAAATAATTATAATTTATAATGTGTAATACTTATATTAAAATATATTGTATAAAAGTTTGCATATTTGTAAAATATTATAACATTATTATTTAATGTTACATAATTTAATTTTGAATATAATATAGAATAGTTGTGTAGTAGTTTTGTATATATGTATACATATACATTCATATATATACATTCCATGAAATTCATTCAAACTGCTTGTGTAAAGTTTGCTGAAAGACTACAGTTCCCCAAATGCAACCATCCATGACCAACCAAATGAGATATGCCGTTTTGTCTGTAATGGCTTCCGCTGTTTTCGCTCCACAACAGTCCCTGAGATTGAATGGGATTCCAGCTGGCAGTTTAAATCACAGGGTTTGCCAAGAGACCCATTTCATTAATAAGTGAAGCACAGCACCTGACATAATGGCACTCAGAGCGTCAGTTAAGAGAGTGTTGTGCAAAGTCAACCGCCGCTGTGGACAGACATCAAGCGCACGAGGCCAGAGCTAAACACTGCATTAATTAATACACATCTGCTGTCCTCATAGAGCCGCAAGGTGTGTCACAGGTGAGCAATCAGTGTTACCATCATTTCAGCAGATTGCAGTGTACATAAACATAAAATATGAATGTTTTAATGAGGCGACATTCACTGGGAGATTTCTACAGACAATCAGGACAATTTATTGTGTGATGGTTCCTGCCTGTTTCTCGCTTCATTTCACTTTCCCCTTCATCCAGGTCTAAACTGTTTTTAAACTTTAGAGCTGTGAATATGGATTCATCATTTTTTGACAGATTCTGTGGTTCGCATCTGAAGTGCTAAAATTACTAAAGCTAAAAGTGAAATAAAATGAATAAAAGCTAAATAGAAATGATTTTAAGTTTAAGTTAAAGTACTAAAATTAGTAAAAACTGAAATACAAATCCCAATAAATTAAATCGGTATAGAAATATTTTCAAGTTTAAGATGGAGTACTGAAATTACCAAATTTAAAACAAATAAAAATAAAGTTAAATGGAAATATATATTTAATGCAACTTTATAGTACTCAAATTAAATAGAAATATAAATAAAGCTAAATAGAAATATGCTTAAGTTTTAAGTTGAAGTACTGAAATTACTAAAACTGAAATA